GAGCCTGGCCTTTACTGCGCCACAGCAGGTGGGGGGTGGGGCGATGGCGAACCGCGCCCAGCCCGGTCTTGGCCGCAGGCGGCGAGGGCGAACAGGCCGCCCTCGCGTCCCGGGACTGGAACTCACCTTCTCTGAGGCAAGGGCAGGTGTCTACTTTAAAACTACTGTCCCCCCTCCCCGCCGCCGCCATAGTGGAGCCGTTAAAGCTGCCGCCGCCTTCTCCACAGCACCGGCAAGAGAGCAGGCAGGGGTGGAGGTGGCAGAGGAGGCAGGCACCAGCAATGCCGCAGCCGCCGCTGCCACCGCGGAGGCGGCGGCGGAGGCGGCAGTTAACGGAGCTTCCCGAGGGGAAGACTTCGCCAGCTGGGTGACAGCGTTCAGGACCGCCGCCGTCGCAGCCAGGCGCACACAATTGCACTGGCTGGCGTCTGGATTCCGTTAGGCTTCTTTAGCCCCGCCCAACTCTTGGTTCCGCCTCTCGCCCCTCTTTTCCTCTTCTCAGCTCTCGCCTGGTTTCTGACTCCTTGTGTCCACCAATAGGAGTGTTGCACTCCCGCAGGACACCTCCCTCTTCCCCCATGGCGCTGCATCACAGACGTCCCTCCGGAGGGGAAGAAAAGATGGCCAAGGGCAAAGGGCAAAAAGCGCGGGATGTAAAAACAAATGTCCACAGACAGTAAGGACTGAAGCGGTAATAGAAAACCAATTTTTAAAAATGGGCATCTCTTGATCCCGCCTCCAAAATATCTCTAAAACACATTTTCTCCTCTCTTACTGCTCTTAGTACAGAAAAGAAGCAAAAATCTCGTAATACCAGTTTGCATGGCCCCTTAACAACTGCTTATTCGTCTAAATTACAGTAAATCTAGAATTCAGTAGAAGAACAGACCTACTGCTGGTAATTTAATTCTCATTACTTTTTCCCACGACCCCCAACCTCCAAATATTTTGTTTATTGTTTACTTGTGCTTTGAACATATTTCTTTACACATATATGCCTAAATACTGTTCTATTCTGTTATAAGCACAAACACATACAATTAAAACCATATATTACCGAACAAGGTAAGATTTTTTACTTTGGAAACTGAATATAGTTATGCATGCAATGAAAATATTTTAGTTCACTGGCCTGTAATAAAGTATTCTGTAGAATTCCCAAAGTACAGTATTTCTGATTGTTGTTTTCAAGTGTCAGATTTTAAGATCACATATGCAGATATATTAGTAATTCAAAGCAATAAACTCCTAGCAGCCCTGGAACTCACTATGTAGACCAGGATGGCCTCAATCTCACAGATATCCATCCACCTGCCTCTGTCTCCAGAGCGCTGGGATTAAAGGTGCGGGTCACCACAACCAGCTAAAAAACTCTTTAAACAGGAAATGCATGCCTATAAATCTGGACAAGACCCCCTAGCTCGGGAAGTCATACGCCCCAGGGGTGAACCAACTACTATTTTTTGCTAAATAGACAATACCAAACCGCCCTCTAAATTTGTATCTCTATACTACAGATGAGCACAGCTATCAGACCTCTTCAGAGAAGTTTCTTTGTGCAGTGGACAGCGGGAACTCACAACTGGTTAAAGTGCAAAGAGTAAGTGTCTGTAAAGTTCTCAGCCACAAATGGGACATCTATATTATATGTCTTCCCCTCAAGGCTCAAGGAACATCTCCATAGAGAGAATGGAAGGTTGTAAGAGCGAGAGTTTGGGGAGGATGGGGGAAAAATAGTATCTTCTGTACGTGACAGGACAGTGGCACAAGACCTGCAGGGGATCAAGCCAGTCAACACTGCAGCATAGAGGGGGTGGAGGTTTAAGAACTGCACTCCTAACTGAGGAGCTACTGACAGTTGGAAGCTTTTGGGGAGGGAAAGTCGGTTTTCTTTAAGGCTGTGGCCCTCAGTAGGTCTACCATGATCCAGTGGATGACCCCACACTCATGACTATATGGTCAGCACAAATTGGATTCAGTTATTTTAAAAAGTGACATGAAGTTGGGAGGGGTAGGGAGATAGGCGATGGTGGATCTGGGAGGAGTGAGCAGTGAATATGATCAGAATATATTGTAGGCGTGTATGAAATTCTCAAATAATTGATAAAAATGATACCCCCAAACTCTTAAGTCTTTCTGATATTAAACAGATATGAAAATTATTTGGCAAATCATTTAATACAGTCATCTTCACATTGTGAATAAATAGTATTTCTTTAGTTATGACTACTTACTAAGTTCACCAAAAGTTGGAACTTTTTCTAGGCAGTATTCTGGGACTTAGTTCATTTACTCAACGTTTTGCTTATATGTTTGTGCTGTGTAGCTTTAGTGTCAACTTGACACACCTGGGTTGAGGGAGCCTCAGCTGGGGAGACCTGTGGCCATGTCTGTGGGGCATTTTCTTGATTGTTGAGTGATGTGGGAGGGCCCAGCCCACTGTGGGTGGTGCCACCCCTGGGCAAGTGGTCCTGTGTTGTAAAAGAAAGCAGGCTGAGCACAGGCCAGAGAGCAAAGCAGTAAGCAGTATTCTTCCATGGCCTGTGCTTCAGCTCCTGCCTCCAGGTTCCTGCCCTGATTTCCTACCTTGGCCTCCCTCAGTGATGGACTGTGACCTGGGGGGGTGTAAGCTAAATAAACCCTTTACTCCCCAAGTTAGTATTGGTCAGAGTATTTTGTCACAGCAATGGACAAACAATGTATATGGAGAAACAAAGTATAACAAAGTTACAGCCACATTGCTACTTGAAGCTGTAGTTATTCAGTGTTAATGTTGGACTGTGTTCCATTCATTTCCTTGTTAATGGACAAATCGTTAAATCTGTGCAGTGACTTCTTTTATGTATGCTCTGCTTTCCCGTCTCACTTCCACTGCTTATTTTAAGTCCTTGTCATATCTTTTCAGAGCTATGTCATCTGTTCCACTGATCATCTTTCATCTGCTGTTCACCCCTTCAAGTTATTTCCATATCACTATCATTCATAACTAGCTCTCTGGTGCTTGGTTGGATAAAATCAAAGACAGAGTTTTATACTACTAATATCCCCCTCATTTCCTTGATCTCATCCTTTTCCATTCCCCTTACCTCTTCTCCATTTTATTCTGTGAATCAGTACTACTAAATCTTATAGATGCCCATGAAGACCAGTTTATTTCAAGATGCGGTTATTTATCTTCCTAAACTGTCCCTGCCTTTACTTGTTTATTAAGAAAATGCCTAAAGAAATCCCAGTGGACTCTGATATGAACATTTGAAATTTTCCCAGTTCTGACTTTTCTCTGGTTTCCTGTCTAGAACTTGTAATGCTAACTGCTCTTGCCTTTACTTCTTCACATCTCCTATTCACCAGTCAAGGACTTTCTTTTCCCTCTACAGATAAAAAGTTATGCATTTTGGGAGTCTTTTAGATAGACCCACCAAAGGGGTACCCCAATTACCTCACCCTGTGTCCCTGTTCAGCATGGAAGATGCCAGAGTGGTTTACGTCCCAATTCCTTATCAATAATTTGGGTAGCCTCTTCAGAGGATGGTGTGATAAGAATAGGAGGTAGGAATTGGCTAGGCAGTTAGGGTAAGAATGCCCCAAAGAAAAGTAGCCCGTTTCTTGGCTGAAAGTCAAAATGTCCTTGGGCCTCTTAGCAACATACTCTGTTCCAATGGCCAAAAATGTCAAAAGTATTTGGGAGCTCTTATCTAATCCCTAAAAAATTTTAGGGTTACCTCTTCAGAGGGTGGAATGTAAGAGTAGCAAAGCCCCATTAGAGAAAGAAGAAGGAAGGAAAGAAGGAAGGAAGGAAGGAAGGAAGGAAGGAAGGAAGGAAGGAAAGAAGGAAAGAGTACATGAAATTGTCAGAAAAAAGTGATGGGGAGATATGGGAGGTGTTGGGGGAGGGGAGTGGGCATGGATTTGATCAAAACATCTTATACACATGTATGAAATTCTCAAAGTTTTTTTAAAAAAGAAATTGCCTAATAAACTCTACATACTCCTTGAAACATGTTCTGTTTCTGCTTAGTTAATACTGCCTCTTCTGCACTATACCTCTATCTGATAAATATTTTTGTTATAATGAGTTTTTACTTTGTGCTTCTTATCTTGATGGCCTAGGATCATTCTAAGACATGGGGGTGTGGAGGGAGGGGAAGAGTTAAAATGAAGAGGCTATGAAAAAACATAAATAAATGAAAAAACAAATACAATAATAATTGAGGACATGAGGGGCTGGAGAGATGGTTCAGCGGTTAAGAGCACTGACCGCTCTTGCGGAGCACCCAGGTTCGATTCCCAGTACCCACATGGTGGCTATGAACCATCCTTAACTCCAGTTCCAGGGGAATCTGAAGCCCTCTTCTGATGCATTGCACAACACAGGGCACTCACATACATGCAGGCAATACACACATACACATAAAATAAAAATAATAATAAAATATTTTTAAAAAATAATTGAGGACATGAAATGGGGAGTAGTGGGGAGAGGCTGTAAAAGGGGAATGGGAGGTCTGAATGTGATCAAAATACATTGAATTTCTGTAATCAATTACAAAATTCTCTAAAGGCCACGTGGAAACCTACTATCTGATTGAAATCATGAAATTTGCAGGTAAATAGATGGAATTAGAAACTGTTATACTAAGCGAAGTAACACAGACTCCGAAAAAAAATTGACATATGTTCTCCCTCATATGTGGATCCTAGAACCAAACCCTGATAAGTGAGTATGTATGCAGACATAACTACAAGAACCAGGATAAGGGTAAGGAAACAGTGAGGTAAAGGAAAAGAAATAACCTGAAGGAGAAGAATAGTAGGTAACAGGCCTCAATAAGGGAGATATGGATAAAAATTGGGTTAGTTTAAGGGAGGGAGGAGGGAAGGGTATACAAGGAACCTAGGGGATAAAGGGAAAGAAGGAGCTCAAGAGAGGTAGGACCATAGGAGAAGGGTATTAGTAAGGGAGAAAGGGGGGAAATGGGGGCACCTTAAGTGGGAAAACCATGATGGAGGGGTGAGACAATATGAGAGATAAACAATGCCTAGCTAGTTTTGAAAACCAGAGGGAACTACATTACTGCTACAACCTACTGACAAATTATACATAGTAGATCAAGAAATATATGTCTAGGTAAGGTTTATCTGAGAACAATTGGTCTTTGCCCAAGATTTATCTACATGGCACATGGTAATTAAAAGTACCAGACTGGTGAAACTAACCTTCTTGGATGTTTAACAGACATAACTTGAGGCCTGTAATGATTTGGTCAGAGGGACATAAAGGACAGTTTTTGCTCCTTGCCCTCCTAGGTCGACTACTTCCAGGGGACTATGAGCATCTCTCAAAATGTCCTGTAATTGTGGTGGTTCACCTGTCCTCTTGATCAAGGGGGCTGAGGAGACCCCACCAGATAGACTTGAACCAGTGTCCAGTCTACAAAGAGGAGGGTCAACAAAGAGGAATCATTTCCTCCATGCTTCCAAGCAAACCCAACCATGATGGAGTAGGGCCTTTGACTTATCTTCACATAGGCAGAACTGGTAAAAGAAAGGAGCCAGGGGCTCCTCCCAAGCCCATGTGACCTCTGAGGAACAGATCCTCAAACGACCTTAAGAGTAAAAATAAATTGGTTTATCTGGGCAAAC